GTCCCCGGCCTCGGGCGCCAGTGGAGGCGTTTGGGGAAGAAGAAGTAAAGGAAAGCCAGATGCAAATACCTTCACCGCCCTCGGGGGAGCCGTTTCCATTTCTCCCCGGGTGGAGAACTTTTGATTACAGGGATCCGGGAAGCCTGGATCGGGAAACCCTTCTCTGTGCCACGGGGAGAACCAGGCATTTTCCTGGAGCCAGACTCACCTGCGTGATCCTCGGCGGCTCCCTGTGGTTTGAGGTCCTTCCTCATCTTATATTAAAGTTGATCTTCCCGTCTCTTGAAGCAGAATAAACCTCTTAAGCTGTGCTTTGGGCTACCTCTCCCTTCCTTGGGCATCCAAGTTCCATCTCCTGGCCTGATCAAAAGCCAACTACTTTTTGTTTTACTCTAGTGAACTTGCCATTTTCACCCACTTTAGTGTTTCGGAGCTTAAAAGTTTAGGAGTCCAGGTGATGTAATGCGTATGGCAGGCATTAGGCCATTAACCACAAAGTCAGCAGCTTACCGGCCAGCTGTTCTGTGGGAGAAAGATGTGGCTTTTGGTACCGATCAAGGTTTACAGCCTACCAAACCCAAAGGGGACGATTCTGCCCTGTGCTATAGGATGGCTGGGAGGCCAGGGTGTGAGACAAGCATAAAGTTCTAATTCATCGCGTCAATACTCTTCACAGAATCCATCTTGGATCCCTGGGAGCCCAGCTCACAGCCCTTCCGGAGTGAAGAAATCCTCTTCAAAGGTCATTCTCCTGAGGGCAATTTCACACTTTTGATAAAGAAGAAATTCCACATCTTTTCAAGGTGACTTTCACTTCCTCCACCGAATGGGACCAGTTTTTCCCATTTCTATCTAGTGCAGCCTTTGGGCCACCTGTAGCCGACCCTTTGAAACATTTCCTCGATAAACAAATTGCATGACAGCCCACCACCACCTGCCCACGTTGTAGGTGTTGAGAGTTGGGATCTGAAGTCTGTTTTCCCTTCTCTGGATTTTTTGGACTTTTCCAGACCTCCTAGAACAATGGTGGACGTAAGACAAGGATTGTTTGTGCTGGGAATAGAGCGCATGACTGTGCAGTAACCAGGAGAAAGGGGTTGTGTGGTGGTTCCCACAACTATTACTAATAGCTTCAACATACAAGGATCCCAACATAGGACCATAGTAACCTGTAGGCATTTTGTTTGTACATGGGTCACCCGATTTCACAGACCTGCATCGACTGAACACTGACTGTGCCCAGAGCCTTGTTGCCCACTCACTACCCTCTTTGGTACCCAAGAAGGAGTACCAGTTGTATCCCTATTTTACAGGTGAGAAACCAGGCTCAGACAGGTGAACTCACTTGTTGGGTCATGTGGGAGCTAGGTGGCAGAACAGGGATCGGAGCCCAAGCAGGCCAGTTTCATTGACTTGGTGTTAAACAACTTGGCAGTCTGAGTTTATCTAATGATTCTACCCTCACCTCAGATTCAACTTGCTTAGAACAAAAAACCCCTCCTTCCTCCCCTTTCTTTTCTTTTTAAACCTTTTGTTTGAATTAGGTGAAGATTTTTCAAGCAGATCATAATTTTACAAGAAACGTTTCCTGCACATTTGGATTCAGCTCACCCGCTGCAATCCTCTCAGGGTAGCTTCTCCTGCTTATCCCCCGTCCTTCTGTGCCTCCTGTTCCTAGTCTTCCTTCTCGCCCAGCCCTCTGGACTTTGTACTTGAGTCAATGGTGCCCTTTTGATCTTAAGTGGCTTCTTATTCTGACCTGGAGGTGAGTTCAATTCCAGGCGGAAAGGGCAAGGGCCAGAGTCTTGAGGGTTTCTACCAGCTTCCAGCCAACCCGTCAGCCTGGTTTCTTCTGTGATCTTGAATTCTATTCCACACATTTCTATCACCCTAACCAGGACCTTTAATCATTTTCAGAGCAGTTGGTGGTGGCAGCCAAGCACCGTCTAGTTCTTCTGGTCTCAAGGTTGTAGAGTCTGATGTTTGTGTGGACCATGAGTCCATTGGACTCATCGAAAAACGCATTTTCGATGGTGCCCGGCTCTCAAAGAATATAGCATCTGGGGTCTTAAAGTGGCCATCCAGCTGAGGAGCAACAAAGCCCACATCACAAGGAAGAGACTAGCCAGTCAGGGTGCAGGATAGCACTAATGAAACATACAACTTTCTTCTAGGTTTTTTATGCGTCCTGCCCCCCATATCATGACCCCAATTCTACCTTACAAATCTGGCTAGACTAGAGCATGTACACTGGTACGGACAAGAGCTGGAAACACAAGGAATCCAGGACAGATAAACCCCTCAGGACCAATTATGAGAGTAGCGATACCAAGAGGGGAAGGGGAAGGTGAGGGGAGATAGGGGGAACTGATCACAAGGATCTACATGTAATCCCCTCCCAGGGGGAACAGCCACAGAAAAGTGGGTGAAGGGAGACATCTGTCAGTGTATGAAAACAATAATAATTTATAGATTATAAGGGTTCATGAGGGAGGGAGGGAAAAATAGTGAGGAGCTGATACCAAGAGCTCAGGTAGAAAGAAAATGTTTTGAAAATGATGATTGGAGCAAATGTAAAAATGTGCTTGACAATGTATATGTGTATAGATTGTGATAAGAGCTGTATGAGCCCCCAGTAAAATGATTTAAAAATAAATAAGAATGTCTAGTGAGGGTGTCATCCAGGGAGAGGCAATCTTCAAACTGAAATCTGAAGGATGGGTAGGAACTAATTAGGCAACAAGGTGAGCGAGAATGGGCCTGACCGACAGGACAGCAGAAGCAGAGGTCTGTGGACTGGAACGAGTGAGGAGGGAGAGTACACTGAGCGGTGCAGCGGCAGAGGAGAAATCTCACTGGCAACCATACAGGGCTCGATGAGCTTGCTGAGTTTTGTCTCCATCCTAGGGGTACTGGGCAGTCACTGATGAGCCGTAAGCAGTGATGGATGGGCAGATAGACATGTTCAGATTTCAGTTTCCAAAAGAGCGCCCTAACTTGTATATGGAGAGGGGATCAGAGGGCCTTAGAGGGTTCAAGGAATAGCTAGGAGATCACTGAGGTAGCGCTTGATTGGGGAAGGAGTTCTGCTGATGGTGAGACGTGGACAGCCCGAGAGCTACTGGGGGGATCATATTGAACAGGCTTTGGTGATAGATTGGAGAGACACAGGATGCTAACAACAGGGACATAGACAGAGTCCCTTCTGAGCCTGATTGCTCCTCTGTAAACTGAGCCTTGGTCCCATCCTACCTGAACATCCATTTACCTTCTTCTGATGAGCCTGACTGATATCCCACAGGCCTTTGTGTGTAACCATTCATCACTAAGTTTGCTCAAGATAAAGGAGCCCAGGACCCAAGATAAGGTGGGAGGCAAAAGCCACCTGGACCGGGGATTAGTGGACTATTACTTAAAACAAAAAGTTATTCTGCAAATGTATTTGTATTACCCTCTGCTTCTGCCGGCATGTAACAACCCACCACCACCCCCTCCAGCCAAGAACCACCACCACAAAAAAGCCTCACTGCTAGCAGGTCATTCCATCATCGAAACCGGATAGGACGAGGGAGAACTACCCCTGTGAGTTTCCTCGACTGTGACTCTCCACAGGAGTAGAAAGCCTGTCTTTTCTCCCGCAGAGCAGCTGGCGGTTTCGAATGGTTAACCTTGCAGATAGTGGTCGAATGAATGCTTACCCAGGGCTGAAATACAACACTGGGTTCCTGACAGGGAACAAACCACCTCAAAATTCAGAGGCTTAGCATAAAAACAGCCATTTATCAGGCAGGGTGTGGCAAGAAGAGCTAGTCCCTGTGGCGGCAAGTCCCCTGATATAACATCGAGAGATGTGTTTCCCAGCTCCTGAGCTAACAAGCCTCTCTCTCCCTTCAGACTCTCATCCTCCAAGGTCCTGCTCTCTGCAGGGGGCTTGTTTTTCTTTGAGGATTTAAAACAAAACAGCACACACACAAAAACAACCCACTGCCTCTGGTCCAGGAGTCTGGCAAACCTTTGAAACAGAAGAGCCAGTCCTGCCCCTCACAACAATTTTAAAATGATTCAAGAGCCATAACTATATGTTTACCAACAAAGAAGTCACCGGGATCTGAATAATATCCTTTAAAATTTTTCATTTGACTCCAGAGCTGCAGGTATGTACCGAAAGAGCTACATATGGTGTAAGATATGACAAAATAATAACAGTTTATAAATTATCATGGGTTCATGAGGGAGGGGGGAAGAGGGAGGGAGGGCTCAAGCAGAAAGCAAATGTTTTGAGAACGATGATGGCAACAAATGTACAAATGTGCTTGACACAACGGATGGATGTATGGATTATGATAAGACTTGTAGGAGCCCCCAATAAAATGATTAAGTAAAAAAAAAAAAGCTACGTATAGCTGAGAGCCGTAGCTTGCCGACCCTGCTCTAGTGGATTCCGATTCCCAACGACCCTATAGGGAGAGCAGTGTTAGAATTGACCCTGAGGTGGGACTCCGTAGACCTTAGGCCGGTGGATACGAACTGCTGACTTTGGGGTTAGCAGCCCTCTTCTTTTTTTTTTTTAACATTTTATTAGGGGCTCATACAACTGTTATCGTAATCCATACGCACATCAATTGTGTAAAGCGCATCTGTACATCATTCTCAAAACATTTTCTCTCCACTTAAACCCCCGACATTAGGTCCTCATTTTTCCCCTCCCTCCCCGCTCCCCCCTCCCTCATGAGCCCTTGATAGTTTATAAATGGGTATTTTGTCATATCTTGCCCTGTCCGACGTCTCCCTTCACTCACTTTTCGGTTGTCTGTCCCCCAGGGAGGAGGTCACATATAGTTCCTTGTAACTGGTTCCCTCTTTCTTACCCACTCTGCCTCTACCCTCCCTGTTTCTCCACTCACACCACTGGTCCTGTAGGGCTCATCCGCCCTAGATTCCCTGCATTTTCAGTTCCTATCTGTACCAGTGAGTAGCCCTCTTCTTAACTCATTACATTTCCAGGCTCGCTTCCTGTGGGGTAGTCAAAGGCATTTATATGGCCACTGGCTCCTAGAGGGGAAAACGAACACAGAACCTGCTTAACTTCTGAAGGCCTTGGTTGGAAACTCAAACGGTGCCGTCTTTGCTATAGCCTATTGGTGAAAGCAAGGTGCAGATTCAGACAGGCGGAAGTGGACTCTGCTTCTTGGTGGGAGTTGCGACATGCCTGTCCTGGAAAGGGCAGGACTGCTGTTGGATCACCTTTGTAGACAAGCCACCCCACCATCATCAGACCATTAGCCAAGACTAGTCATTCACTGTTCCTTTCCCAGTAGCGGTGTGAAGGACTAAATACTGCCACCAAACGCTCCAGGCCAAAGAACCATGGCCAGTACTGGTGACACAGCAGGTAGGAGTGACATCTGTGGGCAGAAGCCAGGCCACCCCCTTCCCAAGCGCACAGAGCTGAGCGGAGCCAGGGCTTAGCCCGGCGCAGGCAGACTGCAGTTCCAGGGGCATATTCGGCTCTTTCAGTCCTGCATGTGGCTCTGGAATAAAATGGAAACGTTTTAGAGGGTATTATTCGAATAATGGTGATTTCATTTGTTTGTAAAGAGGTATTTACGGCCCTCGAATAATTTTTACACTGTTGGGAGGGGTCGGATTGGCTCTTTTGTCTCAAAAGTTTGCTGAGCCCCAGTCTAGCACCTTCAGGTGGTGGTGCTTCTAGCGGCAAGCTAGCATTAGGAAGTGAGCTCCTTGGCACTGCCTGGCAGGAAGGCAGCGTAGAAGAGGGAAAGGGCGCAGGAAAGACAATCCGGAGACCGGAGGGCTGGAGCGGGCTCTGCCACATTCTAGCTCAGGGTCTCTGGGCAAATCAAGGTACCTCTCTAGGCGTCAGTTCCCTGGATGTAGGTGAGAGCTTTCATTAAGGCTCCTACAGCTCTGATACGCTCCGCCTCTCCACAAACCCAGCTTCGTGAAGCCTTTCCGGAACAGCTAGCTTTGTGCACCCTGAAGATGGGATCCTGGGGTCCCTGAGGTCGGAACAGAGGACAGATGAAGAAACCGTTTGGCAGAAAAACCACGTGGCAGTGTGCAGGATGGCCTGAAGACCATCGAAAGTTGTCCCATAGCCCAGGACCCGCGCAACTGTGGGCATGGACAAGATGAGCTGCCCGTTACCAAGTAGGAGCAGCAAGACTCAGGACCTGGTTACCTAGACGCTTCTCAGGAGAGGCTGGGAGAAAGCAGGGGACACAGATCGAGCCCCTGTGACTGGGACAGTAGGGCTAGGAGGAAAGGTGGAGAGGAGAATGATTTGGGGCGCGATGTTGTCGTCATGATTTCCTCCCTATATCGAAGCATTCTGTGCTCAGAAATGGGAACTTGGAAACTATATTAAAAAGTAGAGAGAAGCAGATCTAATCGAACGATAAAATGATCGTTCAGGTATCATCACTGTCTAAGTTTTCTAGCGCTGGAATCATGGAATACCACAAGTGGGTGGCATTAAAGAACAGAAATGTATTTTCTCACCTTTCTGAAGGCTGCGTCCAAATCAGGGTTGGGCTCCGTCACTCCCATGAGCCTCTGTCTTTGTTCCTGGCTTCCACCAGGGATCCTTGGCATTCCTTTGAGCTCCTTGGAACCCTTCTTCCCCGGTATGTGTCTCTGTGTTCGTATTACTCAGACGCGGCTGGGTTTAGGATCCACCCTATGATAGAATCTCATTATGATAACAAAGGAAAAACCCTCTTTCCAAACACATCCGTGGGCACGGGATTAGGATTTCAACACGTTTGTTGTTGTCGTTGTCTTGCGGGCAGGGACGAAACTCAACCCCTAACAACCACTTTGAATACAGATGGACTGTCCTACAGTTTTACCCCCTCATACATAGGTTTCCTTTCTATAAGTAAGAATCTGGGTAAGGTAGTCGGGAACATGTGGTGGTTGATATCAACGTGGGATAAGATCCTGGCTCACTCCTGTTCATTTAGGTCACGTTTATTGGCACTCATGTCAAATGTCTTACTTGTATCAACTCACTAATTCTCCTGACAGTCCTGTGAAGTCCCATTTCATATAAAAGATGATTGAGGCACAGACCGGTTCAATAACTTACCTAAAGTCACATAACTTACCTAAAGTCACAGAAATAGTAAGTGGCAAAGGAAAAACTTGAACGCAGGAATCTGATGCTGAAGTCCACACGCACACCCACTGTAGAGCCGTTTTCCACTCCTCACTACAGGACCTGCTTGAGCTCCCCCCTCTGCAGGGTGGGAGCAATTTTGAGTCATCAGGAGCATTAGCAGTCACATGTTAAAATACTACCTGGCACTCAGGTATCTCAACAACAAATGGAGCCGGTTTACTATTTGAAAATGAGTTTTTCTTTAAGTCATTTTATTGGGGGCTCATACAGCTCTTATCACAATACAGCCATCCATGCATTGTGTCGAGCACATTTGTATATTTGTTGCCATCATCATTCTCAAGACATTTGCTTTCTGCTTGAGCCCTTGGTATCAGCTCCTCATTTTTTCCCTCCCTTCCCCACCCTCCCTCCCTCACAAACCTTTGATAATTTATTATTTTTTTTTCCAGAACTCAGTGAGGTTTAATAGGGGCGGGCCGTCCGGAGGAAGACTTTTGGTGCAGGTACAGTAAAAATGAGGGAGGGATTTTTATAATTTTTTTCATGTCCTACACTGACCGATGTCTCCCTTCATCCACTTTTCTGTTGTCTGTCCCCCTGGGAGGGGGTTAAATGTGAATCATTGTGATTTGTTCCCCCTTTCTACCCCCACCTTCTCCTTCCCCTCCTGGTATCTCTACTGTCATTATTGGTCCTGAGGGGTTTATCTGTCCTGGATTCCCAATTGCTTACAGATGGGCTTTGGGTCTCCACTCCACACTCCCCCTTATTCACATTGATATGATTTTTTGTTCTGGGTCTTTGATGCCTGATACCTGATCCCATCGACATATCATGATCACACACACGATGCAGGTTGGCGAGGTGGTTGGCAGTGGCCCCTATTATTTTGGACTAGTTCTGACAGCTGGGAGCTCATGCTTGGCCAATAAGAAGCTTGGCCGATGTGCTTCTTCCATGTGGACTTTGTTGCTTCTCAGCTAGATGGCCGCTTGTTTATCTTAAAGCTGCTAAGACATCAGATGCTGTCTTTTTTGATAGCTGGGCACCATCATCTTCCTTCACCACATTTGCTTATGTACCCATTTTGTCTTCAGTGATCTTGTCAGGAAGCTAAGCATCACAGAATGCCAGGTTATTAGAACAAAGTTTTCTTGCATTGAGGGAGTACTTGTTTAGAAGCCCAATGTCTATCTGATACCTTAATACTTAACATATAAATATCTGGACATAGATTTATTTCCCTATCATAATATATAAACATATTTACAAGACTATATTTAGACCTCTATAAATGCCCATTGGCCTCCTAATTCTTTCCTCTATTTCCTTTTACTTTCCTCTTGTCCCACTATCACGTTCGGCCTTCATTTGGGTTTCAGTAATTCTTCTCCATTACATTGCCCTTGACCAAGCCCCACCAGGCCTCCTATACCCTCGCCATCAATTTTAGATCACTTGTTGTTCCTTTGTCCCTGGGTTTGTTAATACCCACTTCCTTTTCCCCACCTCCTCTTCTCCCTTGTCCCCTCACCCCCAACCTTGGGTCCCATTGTTTTCTCTAGATTTTTTGTCCCGCCTATCTTATCTAGATAGACATGCAGAGACAATAATAAGCACAAAAATAAGAAAGAGCAAAACTAAACAACAACCAAAAAACCCAACAACACAAAAAAGAAAAGCCTATAAATAGTTCCGTGTCTGTTTGTTGACATTTAGGAATGTTTTCCAGTCCAGTCTGATGGGGTGCCATGCCCCAGCCCCGAAGTCTATTTTTGGAATTCCCCAGGGACTTCATTGCTTTGCTCCCCTTGCTGCTCTGGTGCACGCTCTTAGCATTTTGCCCCGTTGTGGCCTCACTACACATTCTTATAGCACCTTCTACCATTCTGTTTATCATTACATTCAGTTGTAGTTTTCCATTTATTTATTTTATTGATCAGTGCATTTATATATGATTATTATTTTAAATTCATTGACATTTTCATACTAGACTGTAAATTCCAGAAGGGAAAAGATTGGCAATTGAGTTTATGCATGTAGTACTGGAAGAATTCATACAATCTTTGTTAAATGATAAACGTTAATGAATGAACAAAATCTCGTGATTCCTTCAATCCAGTTCCTTTCCAAATTTTTGGAAATATGAGAAACAAGAGGGAGAGAATGATCATAATAATGACTGCCGGTCACAGAGTGTCAAAGGAATAACTGTGTCTACAAGCTATGATTTAGAGACCTCAGAACCCATACTCATCTCCACTTTCTTCTGGACTTCTGGCATTTTCCAAAGAGAAATGAAAGGGAATCAGTGCAGAGAAAGCCCAAGGACAGCCTCGCCAGAAGGCTAAGGAGAATGGGAAGGTCCAGGTTGGGAAGAGTGTAGTGGGGCAGGGGTGGGTGGGTGGAGAGGGGGTGGGAATGGATGTCTGCTGAGAAAGACTCTGTTTTGGACATCGTGTTGAATGTTTATATAAATCCCTCGCTTAGCCCTTTTAACAATCCCATTTTGCAGGTAAGAAAAATTCAAAGAGAAGGTGAAACTGCAAAAATAAAGGAGCAGCAAAGCTAAGTTTAGAGTCAAACCTGGCAGCTGTCTTCCAAAACCTGAACTTCCCAATCTACGGTCTTGGCTTCCAGCCCTCAAACACCTTTCCCACCTTCCATTCCATCATGAGAGGCTTTGCCCTGACCTTTTCCAGAAGCGCTCTTTTAGAACCAACACATGATGGTTGAAGTTGGTAACAATGGAAACAAATATTTAGTGTCATAAAGACAACCCCGCAAGACCCAGAAGGAAGCATATTCAAAACAACTGGCCTGTGGGATGAGTGCATCCGACTGTCCATGGCTCTGTCTCTTGCTACAACAGCGTTTGAACAGAGTAGACCCAAGGACTCCTCACCTCTGACCTCTGCCCACTGCCCACTGCCCACTCTCTCCTCTGGGACCATTTTCTCTGTCTTCTCGTTTCTGGGATCAGTCAACACAGTTCAGCTTAATATATATATTGCAGTTAGCTTCTTATTGGCCAAGCATGAGCTCCCAGCTGTCAGAACTCTTCCAAAATAATAGGGGCCATTGCCAACCTCCTCGCCAACCTGCATTGTAGGCCTTTCTCTGAGCTTCTGTGTTGGCTTTGAAGATGGGGGCTACGTTCACGAGTTGGTGAAAGAGAAGCTCCAGGGACTCAGCATCTCTTGAAAGTGCAGAAACAGTGCGATGCCCTACCCTCTTCCAGGATGAGCAGAAGCCATCGAAGGTGAGTGGAGCGGGGACGCTGCATGCAGGGAAGTCCCCATGGCCCAGGAAAAGGACTTGAACCCAGCCCTTCTGATAAATATGCCAGGGCCTTACCTACACAGACCTTCACCTCTGTGACAATCTGAAGAGCCATGTCCTAGATGAGAAGTTGACAGTTGCCCCGCCTGACCAATCTCTTCTCTGGCTCACCGGTCCCAAACTAAGCATCTCTTAGCAAAGGCCATCCTTAAACACCAGTTGGAGCCTCCAGGGCTTAACTGGCCTTTGAGGGGCCCCTTTAACTTCTGATATCTGGGTTCTGCCTGATTCTCTCCCTCACCAAGAGCAGATTTTTAACCACCCTGGAGCCCTCTCTGAAGCCATGGGCCAAGTGGAAATACTAAAGCTTCTTTTAATTTTTTTTAAAAAGGACTTTTTTTTTTCAGTCAAAAAAGGACATATTTTTTACAGAAAAATAAAACCTGGCATGTGGGAAGGGGATATGGGAGTTAATGTAAGTTAATTATTTCTCATGCTTCATGAAGAATAGATCATCGATAGTCTCTAACACAGCAACAAATGCAGGACATTATTACATAAAGGGAAAATGATGATCACAAGAACATGCAAACCAGAACGGGGTGAGGGTGGGGGTAGGGTGAGGGAAGGGGTGGTGGTTGCCTCTGGGGATGAGCTGGTGAGAGGAGAGAAACTTTCATTTTTTTTATCTGTTTGGCCTTTGAACAGTTCCCCCCACCCCCTAAAACTAGTGTTCTTTTGTTCTGTAACTTTTAAAAAAACTTTTTATTGTGATTTAGGTGAACGTTACCCAGTAATTTGGTTTTCCATTCAATAATTCATACACACTTGGTTTTCCAACACTGCTTGCAACCCCCACAAATGTCAAGGTGCTCTTCCCCTACCCCCCTGTGCCTCCCACTTCCTCTGGCCTTCTTTCTCCATCCTTCCTGCCCCCTGAGCGTCCTCCCTGGGTCCATTCTGCCCGCTGGCTCTTGTCACGCATTGGTCTCAGGAGTGGGGGCTGCCTGGTGCCTTCACTCTAGAGGCCTGTCAGGTGGCATCACATGGGTGCATCAGCTCTAGGTCTGAAGGGTGTCTAAGAGACATCATCTCATGGGTCCCACCAGTCTTTTTCAGACCAAAGCCTGAGCTTTTTGGGGATTTTTAGTTTGGTTCCACAATCCGCCCCTCCCACCCCACCCCCCATGTTAGTCTGGGTTGACTAGAGAAATAAATTCATAGGCACTCGTGTGTAAGAGAGAACTTTCTGTCAAAGAGTAATTGTACGTTAAGAAAACATCCCAGCCCAGTCCAGTTCAAGTCCATCAGTGTGATACTAGCCCACATGTCCGATACCAGTCTGTAAATTCCTCTTCAGACTCACGCAACACATGCAATGTTGCCGAATGCAGGAAGATCACAGGCCAGTTGGGTGGAAAGTCTTATGGGTCCAGTGGCGGTGGAAGCATCTGAACACTGGAGCATTGGCGTGGGTCTCCATGTGGCTCCTCCAGCTCCAGGGCTCTGGCTACATAGTTCCATGTGGCTTGTCAGCAGGACAACTAAAGCAGAGTGTGTGTCCCGCCTCCAGGGAGGAAAACAGGAGTTCCCAGAATCCTCAGGAGAAGACCATGCCCACACACACACCCCATTGGCTATGACCTTATTGATAGGCTAGACTCCACCCCTATAACCTAGATAACAAGTTGACATGAAATTATATAACTACCCCCCCCCCACACACACACACATTTTATTTGGGAGACCCTTTTGTGATCTTTTTCGGAGTGGTTAGAAGTGGCGGCCAGGTACCATCTAGTTCTTCACTCTCCAGGTCATGGAGCCTGGGAATCATCCGATCCGATCCATTAGTTCTTTGTACTAATTGTTTCCTTGTGTCTTTGATTGTCTTCCTGCTTCTTTCCTCTGGAGAAGGAGATACCAGTAGTTGTATCTTAGAGTTCTGAACTTCAACAAACAAACAAACATGTTTAAAAAAAGACTAACTGATGTGGGGGTGGGAGGTGATATCAAGGAGTTCAAGAAGGAAGAAAATGTTTAGAAACTGATTTTGGTAGCAATTGTACAATACTGCTTGGTGTGATTGAACTATGGGATGGTATGATGTCTGGATCAACTCCTAATAAAATGGTTTGGGGGGAAAAAAAAGAAAGAAAGAAAAGATTTTCAGATAAAACCCTCCCAGCTGGGTAGCTATAAATACAGTTTTCCACTTCCTATCCTCAATTTACTTATCCTTTAGGGTGTGAATAAAATAATAATATCCCCCCCAAAATAAATAAAAGGGACTAAATGAGTAAACAAAAATACCCTTCTTGGGGTCTTAAAGGCTTGAAGGTAAACAAGCGGCCATCTAGCTGAGAAGTAACAACGCCCACATGATAGAAGCACACCAGCCTGTATGATCATGAGGTGTCGATGGGATCAGGTATCAGGCATCAAAGACCCAAAACAAAAAAATCAGACCAATGTGAATGAGGGGGGGCGTGGAGTAGAGACCCAAAGCCGATCTGTAGACAATTGGACATCTCCTTACTGAAGGATCACAAGGAAGAGACGATCCAGTCAGGTTGCAGTATAGCACCGATAAAACATACAACTTTCCTCTGGTTCTTTTATGTCTCCCCTACCACTATCATGACCCCAA